CAAATCCCTTGTTTATGATAGTATGCAAAGAGGCATGTTCCCGTTGATCAAATACTCAAGATATCGCAGCATACTTTTATGCAAAAAACTACTCACAAATTTGCTGAAAAAACCTAGGTAGCCAGAAACAATATTTTGCTTTGTTGATAAGGGAAAGATTTCAGGTTTAAGGAGCTGCGTCGTTTTTTTTATTTAGAAACGATATTCTATTTTTGTCACATCCCTTTTTGTCACACACGTGCATACTAGAGCAAAGTTATTCATTACGTCGGTGAACATCTGTGTTGAAGTTTGTGACGAACATCGGAATAATTTCAGGTGAGCATGAGAAAATCGTTAAAAACTGAGAGGAGTGGTTTTACTTCAGTGAAAAATTAAAAAAAGGTGCTGATTTTCTTGTAGAAGTCGTTGGGTCTCAAGATGGATAAGACTGTTTTTCTTTATTGTTTTATGGTCGTCAGAGTCTTTCATGCATATCATCTCAGTTGGTAGTAAGCTCTATAGTTTTGCTTCACTCCCTGATTTAAAGCGCTCCACACCAAGAAAGTACACGAAATTCCACTTCCAAAGTTTTATTACGAGTGTAGGTATGGATGTGTACACAGTGATCAATCTTGTTATTAGCTTAAAAGCTCGCTCCTTTCTGGGTAGAACCAGGCTTTTACTTTACGCAAAGGATATATAAATACCCCCATTCAAACTTTTTATCATCTCTCATTTGTTCTTGTCAAAATGTGTACCACGTGCCGCTCAAGCTGTACACACTAGTGGTAAGCGAAAAAGATTAAATCAAAGAATGTTAGTATCCCTTTGATTGGGAAATTATAACCCATACCTATACCGCCCCGGAAAATTATGTCCAGCACACATACAATCGAATCGGCTTGCCAGCTGAGCTCACTTGAACTAATAAACATAATGCCAGAGCTGTGAATTGAATCGCCTATTTTCTGATATTAGTAGCTTTTTACGTTTTCGTTTCCTAAGGCCATGAATTCACAGGACTCAGCAATCTCCTGGCAACAGACTCGGAAGTGTAACGAAAATGAAAGTAAAGATAGGAGGGCTCCCTTCATTGAGGTAAAGAATTCTGATTTCGGGAAATAACGGCTTTCTAAAGCGAAAACAGTCAGAAAATAAACCTGCTGACAAAATTCCGACAGCCTACCGGCAGTGTCGGATTCCTTCCGGAAAAAGCAATTTCCTGGAATACAGAACAAACTAGTTACTCGCAACCGGGCGGCGGCTTTTGAGCACTTAAGTGTCCGAGATGCTGGATTTTTTTGTCGTACCAATGAGAAGGTTCTATGTTGCGGTGTTGTGAAGCCTTGTTCAGCAGTTTTAATAATGTTATGATCCTCTAGTATCTCATGCAACACTGTGCAATTTAAGACTCAATGACAGTTAGGAACTGCATTAATCGATCATTGACAATGTGAATAACATACAGACATAGCGGATTTGCTGCTCCCAACATTTGACCACGTGGTTCACGTAATGAGATTCTGTGTCAACTGGTATGTCGACACACAAGGGTCCGTGAATCCTTTGGAATTTTTATCATTTTAAAAAGGTCGCTTAAACGTTGTCTGTAAAACAGAGACAAAAGATTCTACAATCAGTCTACACCAAGGTGATTACTACCACTATCTTTTTGATCAGAGCTAAAATGCAGCCGAGTAGATTGCGTAATGCATAAGGCTTCTGATCCCATTATTCGGGTAATGTTTTTTGGAAAATATAAGGCTTGGTGTTCTGCTTTTTTCTGACAAATGCAGAGGCCAGTAAGCAGCAATCACGCGGTTTTTCACTTATCTGTAGGAGTTTACGGATAGCGATAAATGAATCTATGGAGTCAATAGATTCAGCAAGCCATTATTGGTTCCCATTAATTTCATTAAGTTTTGTCTGCGTAGAGCTTACATCCCCGTCCAACAGTTACTGCGTGTACTCTGTCGTGTGCAGAGAGGTTGAGGGATGGACTACCTGAACTCTACATCAATTTTCTGAAACCCGGGACACAATCTCAGCTCAGGCAATTCCGCATTGCATCTGAAAGATATTAAGATCATGCTACCTCTTAGCTGCCCGTCAGTTAAAGGTAATGAGAGAATGGTACTAATCGCTATGCCTGTTGTAATTCGTTCACAAAACCTACTGTTGAGAAGCAACTAGTGGGTGATTCATTTTTGTCACACAAAGATCAAATCGACCGGGCACTCCAATTGCAACCACGATTTACTTCTACTGAGGGCATCCCTTGAGATCTTTGACATACTCAACTAATGCATGCATAATAGCTGATTGGTGTACACAGATAAATGATGCATTTCACCTGAGGATGCTACACGAATGAGTCGTTGTTCTTCATGCTCTTTGTTTACGACTAAGTAGGCAGAAGACTGCTCGTTTAGAGTGATCAATATAGCAGAGTTGAAGGCCATTACAAATAGTTTGGGAGATTTGCCGAACATCCGGTGCATCCGACAAACGCCGAATGGACTATATTTCTTGTGCTCTATTGTTCGGCACTTTGACTTTGTGATCGTACTCCTAGTCTTAATAGTTTGATTACAAAAGTAAACGGTAACCCGGAAATGAATAAATTTGGTGGACAGTAGTATAGGGAGACGGCATGGTTTTGGTGCCAGTTTGTTGTAGAAGCAATAGTAGTCAGTGGATCGACAGCACAATAAGTTTGAATACATTTGGTAAGATCATCACGCGACAAACATTCTGTCTCTTGGACTTTTTCCATTTTCTAGAGCTCAGTTTAACGCATTAGAGAAGTGACTGATCACCATACCGTAGCATGGCAGCTAAATTTCAGTCATTCGTAGCTTTGAACCATTTATTTTTGCGTGATTCTTTCAACAAATTGGGACATTTAAGGCGGTCATACTCAGATCAAAACGTACTTTTCCGCCAACTTATGATGGGTCATGGAATCTCGTCATTGAGGAAATCACCAGTATGTTACATGAATTCAGCGTCCTGGTAGTCACCCGCAGCACCGGCTAAACTGTTCATTGGATCTCTTGGGAAAACAATTTGCGCACCATGTGAATATTTCGCGGAAAGTTTCTTGCCTCTAGAGTGTGTAGGGGGAAAGTCAACTCCATCATTTCTGAATTTCTGCATTTGGGCCTGAACGCTAGGGAAGAAAGCAAGGGATAAAAACGAAGCCGTGTTTTGGATCAACGCTTGCTTACTATTTATCCGAAAACTGGTCTCTAAAAGGACGCAGAGTCATTGATTTGTCGATACCTGCAGAAAAATGGTCGCACGCCCTTTTGGACGTCCACAAGCTTCAGATAGTTGGTCATGGTTTGTATTGTGCTGATCGTTCGGTTCGCTTTCCTGACAGGACAGGCCATGTGGTGAACTGGAATAAAGATTAGTGTCTTTTCGTACACATTCAAAGGATATGATCTACGAAATGTATCGCTTACTTCACTCTGACATGCAAGTCTCGATTTCTGGGAGAATGCAATTGGACCATCTTTTTGAACTTACATATTACACCTGGTACATTCGTTGTGAAACCTCTCTGAATTAGGTAACTCTTCTCTAGCCGTAAATGCAACACTTACTGATATTTTTTATAGAAAATTAAACACGTGGTGGTTTTTAATCGAGATTGTTACTAAAATATTCTTCGCATTAACAAAAACTCACCTAGGCCATGTTTCAATATTCCTTTATTTGTAGTCTCCTGAGAGTTAATTTCTCGATGCTGCATTACAAATGAATTTTCGGTAAATGTATGAGGAAGTTTCAAGAAAACTGGAGAGAAGGTGGTGAAAATCCGTCCCGCCCAACAATAATCTTAAACACTCATTTGATTTGACTTGATTAGTCTCCGAGCGAACGAGCTTCTTCATCCGTATGCATTCCATCGATTTTGGATGAACATACGATGACTACACTGTCTTAATCCATTTACTTGCTTACTGTTAAAAAACAATGGGAGATGCTAGCATCAGGCTGTTGAGCAAATTCATCTCTCAAATGGAAATCACTTTACTGAATAACAAATTGAAAACCGGGACCGAGATACTTTAATCTGATGGTGGCAGCTGGAAATAGCTTTCGTGGATTTTGTGCGTTTACGAAGATGCAAACTTTTCCTTATGCAGTCTGAATTTCATGGGTATTGTGTTTTCAAACAACTATATTTACCGTTAAGTGTTTTTTTGTGAAATTTCCAATTGTGGAAATCTAGTGCTATCTCGACCTCTGTTATTCCTCATCCGTGCGTGATTGAATCGTTTTCAGTTAAGTTCAGTTTCATTCTAATTTAGGTAACTGTGGTTTGTAATTCTAACTAGGTTCCAAAAGAATGCTCAAATTCCTGCTTCTTAAGTAAACCATCATACACCATTGACCCAGCTAGTCAGGGAAGTGTTTTCAAAATAGAAAACCTGAAGATGAACTTTTCTTGATTTCAGTTGTGTAATGGATACCAAATTCCAGCGTTTCGGAATATGGTAATTCAATACACTAGAAATTTTTAAATTATATTGAAGTTGGCTGTTTTTAAAAACCGGTCATTTTGTGACTTGATTTCATTTCTATCGTGTCTGCTTGTTGGTCATAGCATGTCCACTGAGACTTCCTCGCTTAAATAATGATCAAGTAACTGTTTGTTCTTGACTTATTTGCACTGGTTTTAATTGAGGAGCTCTGCTATTCCCTGATCTGCTCGGGAATTATGCAAGCTTATTGCCTTGGATAGTGACATTTGTTTAGTGTCAGTCTCGTAATTAGATGCGGGATGAACCTCGTACCAAATATGGGCGAACAGACTGTATGTACAGCAATGAATTGGGTGCAATAGCATTTAGATTATTGCCAACTTAGCTGGAACTACGTGGTGGAGTGTCAGAAACGGGTGTGTTCACATTTCAAGTACGGCTGAACGTTTTCGTCGCCAACCTGAAATAATCTGACCAGAATTCATTCGATTTACATCGATTTACATCTCTTACGAATTTTAGCCATATGTGGCCAGGGACGGCATCCATCAGGTGAACCGCGGGTCGCTAAACAAAACAATCGTCTTGCACCCTTCCTTCGGAAAAGCTGCTCGAGCCTCCCCAACTATTGTTCCGCCTCCAACAAAGCGAACGGGTACACCTCGAAGTCGCTCGCAACAACCGAGTACCAGTGCGAGACATTCGAGACCGGATAAAGTTATGCTCAACTCAAAGTCACCTGTTTATTTTGTGGAAGTCATTCGTTCGCCGGTGCCCGCAGCATCACCTAGACCTCACAAGGTGAGAAGTGTTAACGTTAACATCAAGTAATGAATTTGGTGGAGAGGTTCAAGTTCCACTTGCAGAAAATTCTTTAACATGTCACTATATTTCGAAGGACTGCAGAAATCGGTAGAAACCTTAGGTGTCTCAAACTAACCAGTGTAGTCCCACGCTTCCTTGCATACCGCTTCAAAATCTTCTTGAAATCATCAAAGATTAAGGTGTAGCACGTGAAAGCTTGGTACTCATACCCATGAACCTTCATAAATTTAACACCGTTCCACTGATACGGACAGTTCTTTCGCATTGATAGAAGCAAATTTGTGTTGTACTGAATCTGCTTTTATGTTATATATGTGCACATAGCCGTGAATCACGGACTGAATCCTGTGATTGAAGAATGAGCAGTGCTATATTCTGACTAAGTGCGATCAGCCGTCCGTGGCCGAATGGTTAAGTGTTTAAACTACTCGCCGGGAGGTCGCGGTTTTGAGACTTTCCGGAGTTTCGTGAGGTCCTCAATAAGGTTGAACCAGCTTCTCGGCTTTTGAGCGTAGACTGGCTTCAGTTACAGGATGAAACCTCCAAAAATGTGGATTATGCCCAGACATCCTCATCGTTCGTCTAGAAAAGCGAGCTCCGTAAGAGCAAACTGATAGGAACACATAAAAACCGGCCCGAAGAGACGGTCGAGCGCATAGAACATGCGTTTGTCCGTCTTCTGGGTGATGAAATAGCTGTCACTGTTTTCTTCGGATGGTAGGTACAGGTGGGCAGGATTCACTGGCACTATGATGTTCACTTCTTGTTGCAGTTGGCTTAGAAATTTTGCGGAAGCTACCAGGATTGTCGGTGTCACAAAAATGTTGGAGTGGTTCGAGCTGCAGTCTGATTTTGCCCTCTGAGCACATGTCCTAATTGGGATGAAATTTGAGAACTGAATATATTGGCCTGCCAGATTATGCTTTCTGTAAGTGTCGTGTCTTTGATTTCTATCCGCAAAACAGACCAGTAGTATATCTGTAATCATTAGCCTCTACTGTCATCCTCATTTCTTACGGGGTATCTGAATGGGAAGTCAGGTTTTTCAATTACTTCGAGATTAAACCCGGATCAGCCTTTGAATCAAAAACTAAATAAGTGACACCCACGTGGCATGCATATGGTTGCAAAGGTATTACCACTAGTAAACGCATATGTTCTTTCTTAACATCAATGGTGACGTTTGCAAGCTACAATTTCGGCAGACTAGTTCGCTCTGTAATGTACGGTATAAGAAAGTACCTGAGGGCGATCAGTGTCGTTTCTTGATGATTGACGCAACGAACGATTTGTGGTTGCAAATTCATGTGCCCAAGAGAAGGAATTTCAGTCATCTAAAAATGCTTTCGCTTCTTGAGTATGTCACCTAACGGGGTGTTGCATACCTCTATGCCTTTCGGAGCGCAAGTTTACGAGCAGATCATGTGCGTGCATTAAACATCCAAGGGCAAAATCCACAAAGTCGACTACGATCAATCTCTATTCTGTGCTCCTTGCTGTGGTGGAGCCATTTTGAAGCGAAATGTATTCTGAATTTGCATTTTTGCGCTCTTAACATGTGTTGTTGTGTCAGTGGGAAAAATTAAAAAGATACTGTGTAGCAAGTGGGAACCATTGAACTGAGAGTACTAATAAGATTGACCTTTACGTTTTCACACCTTTTCGGGCGTTCTGGTGGTACATATTTGTACGTACTTCATTTGTTTTCAAAAGTGGGAGCCTCTTCCTGGGGGCCTCCCCCTGCCAAAAATGATCCACTGCTATCTTGAAAAATGTATGTGCCTTTGCACATTTTTCAATTTTGTTTGAGCTTGTTATCCTCTTTGTCGAATAGTAGTTAGATGTTGGGATTTACTGGCCCGTATGCTTTTCTATGATGATGATAAAGATATGCACCGAAATTACTTTATTTGTTCTTTTCTAAATAGAACGCATTGGTTAAACAGCTGGTCTTACTATGACAGTTAGCTGGTAGCCCTTTTTTCTTCCAAACACAGATTCAGCATAACGGAACCGAAGTTGTTTTCAGCAGCCGCTCGCCAGACTCACTTTCTTCCAAATCTCCAGTCACCTATCTGACACTCAACCACCGTCCCGCCGAACGTCAACCGACTATAATATCGGCTTCGAAGGAATACCCTCCAGTATTGCCACAGCGAAAAAATACACCGTTGAGAATATCTGACAGGGCAAGCGTGGATGGCGGGGACAACAGGATTCAAGTTATCCCCAGACCGGTATTTAATCGTGGGATATACACCACAACCGTAAACAAACGTGTGGAAGGTGGTGGGCGATCAAATGGAACTCAACTCACCAAAACAAGCTCAACGGACACATATGAAACCCAGCTAACACCAATAGCCATTTCCAGTTTGGACACAAGCAGCACACAGTCGCCTGTCAATCACCAAGCGCCCACAAATGACTACGTTTACGATGATGCGTTTTTGGATCCTTCGCCGAACACACGGCCATCACCAAAAAACGGATTTTCCAGGCTAAAGCAAGCCAATTCTTGCGATTTGGACAGTATAGGGATGCTAGATACAGTTATTCGGGTATGTTGGAATATTTTTCGCTGAGAAACTGCTTCTCCATTCTTAACAGACCGAATCGACGGAATGGCTTCTTCTATTAGTTCTGTGCAAGGAGAAGATATTTCTTATGCCAACGACAAACTAGGCGACTACGATGGCTATTAACACGTCAGAGATTTACACTCGATTTGAGTTATTAAGGTACAGTATTTGACACTACCTAATCAGTTCTTGGTCTTAATTTGGGTGATATACTTCGCCGTGCTTTGTCAAATGGAGCAGCCACACAAGAAAGAAGCCAGCAACGCAAACAGTGAAAAACAATGAAGTTTATCATTACCGCCCTTCGTCATCCCTATGGGTGCACTTGTGAACATAAAGCGACATTACTCTATTTCGACAACTTGCACAACCTGTTCAGATGTTGACACCCGAAGTCGGCTGTGTTATCAGTAGCCGCTCATATTAGATCACACCGATTAGCTGATACCGCTTTCGTCACTGACCAACTCATTTTATGGGTAGTCTGCAAAAATGGATAACAGCAGGTTAACCTTAGGCTTATCTAAAAGTCTGTAAAAATAGTAGCGACTCTAAAAACAAGACCCATGATTTCGCGTATTTTTTGCGATATTTCTGAAACTCGTGTTTGCGTCACTTTTGTTTCAACGGTCATCCTGCTGTTCTGGAGCATTCGCCTGGTGAGTTTTTACACTTAAAAAGGGAAGCAGTGGACTCGAGTTTCGTTCTTATTGAAGATTGTCAGCAATGAATATCCTTGCTCTTGCTGAAGTTTGAACCCCAGCCTGTTACACCCACTCCACCAGCGTATGCTGGACGTATTTGAGTCCTCAAGTCTGAACAGGTTAACGTAAGTACGCTTGAGTGATGTGACTCGTTTGACGACACCGCGGATCATGACACAGTAGCTGATCCGATCGTGTCGGTCGAATGACCCACGTGCTCGTTCTTTCTAGTCAGTTGGAGCATTGAACGACTGAAACCTGTTGAGCAGTTTTTGATTAGATGTTGGTGTGTTGAGTCCCAAACAATAAAACCTTATCTAAACAGCTGGTATCCACTACTGAAGAGCAATATTCCGCTGGCCTATGACTCACTCCGAAGCGAAACCGAATAACTTGATCCACTTCTCTGAGAAAACGATTTTAATTTCGAACAATATGATTAGGTTGACACGCTCAACTCCCAAAATTCTTAGAGTGCGAGTTTCGTATGGCTTCTGAGTACGTTCAGATGTATTTCGAGGCGATTTGTTAAATTATCCTTGTTTCACCGTGAAACCTATGCATATATCAGAGATGTTGGTGCAACGTGATCGTTATAGCGGGCCTACCGTTCATTCACATGATCAATGAGAAATGTTGATGAAACATCAACAGCCCACATGACTGACAGAAATTACCCCTCTTTACTGCACGTATGTAAACGATCTGGTGCCATATTACATGGTTTCATATCATTCGGTGTCGTAGTTGTTCTAAAGAGAGAGGAGTTTTACTGAATAATATCTTCATGTTGTAATTTCCCCTGATTTTTCCGGTCTATTCATCACGTTGTGATGGATTAGTATTGGCACCTTCGATTCCTTGTTCATTCATTCGTTAAATTTTACTGCAGATTCAGCCCCTTTGGTCCTTAACCATACACAACCCAAACTTAGACTACAACCCTCGGGCGAACTTCTCTGAAATTTACACTGCAACATCATAATCTTGAATAATGCATACTAAGGATCACTGAGAATTTTTCAGCTTACTTAATAAGTGTACCTTCAAGGAGCACTTCTCTGTTCAGCCTGCAGAAGCCATCTCTTGAAATGCGAAAATAGCACAACGTAGTGAACAAGCGCATGTGATACGAAACAGTCTTTTTTGAATGACTATCAACCGACTTGTGTCATATCACGTCTAAATACAAATTTTCAGAAAGTTATGAAAATATCACTTGAATAACCTAACCTAATGGGTCGTTCGTAAATTAAATCGATTTGTTCGACTTCAGTTTTCCGACTTCGTCGACAGACATATCATCCAAATCACAATGAACATACAAAGAAAAGACAATTTCCCGCTTCACCACATCCGCGGATAATTTTGTTACGAGGCAGAGGAATCCCTTTCCTAAAAAAATTATTCTGCTCTTCTCCTCTCAGCAAGTAATCATTGCGCTGTGTGTCCTGTGACAAGTGGGTTGCAGTGTGCCTTGCTCAGCCATGATCTGTTTGAGACCACGAAATTCGTTCGTGAGAATTTGCTTAAGCTAAGCATTTAGAGTATAATTTTATGAGTTAGTTCTTACTGGGTGGAAATTTTTCACGGAAACACGTAAACAGGTTCAGCATGGGTAAACATGATTCTCTCCAATCGTACAGTGTAACTGTCTTAATTTGTAATGCCCTTCATATATTGTTGAAATTTTATTTTTAATCATAGATGATAAGTCATCACTTCGACATAGATAGCCATCAAATGTTTTTGCTCTTAAACTATTTGCTGTTGTAGTTTCACTGTTGACTGCGGCAGATTTATCATCCCTCAGGCCAGTCAACCAACCCCGGATTACTTACTTGACAGTGCGGATATCGTAACCGATTGCCCTCGTTCAGCAACAGAAGGCACTTTGTAGAAGTCGCATTTCAGTTTCTTCTGTACTTTTGAAATGTTTCTATTCCACAAGTGCACTTAACAAATATTAGGTGTCCCTATCAATGAGGATGACAGTGCACATTTTCTGGTGGGTTTTTTCCCCAGTGTTTAGGTGCTGGTGTATTGAAGTCAGAACTGAACTCGAGCTCTCGGGTTATTTTCTGCACTTAATGAATGCTGGTCTAGTATCGTGGCGCATGGTAGTCAGTCTACTATTTTCGTTCTTTCAATGCCTCAAGGGAAAACAGACTTGAATAAAATTCACATGAGAATTCTTGACTATAGTGGACAACAGTTCAACTGTTAAGATATGCAAATTTAATGCAAGTAACTAAATATTTGTGTAATTCTGCAATCAGTGACTCATTCCTTATATCGCACTCATGGACTAGCCCTCCTTCATCATCTCGCGTTCATATCTCGTCCATCACGTTACATCTTCAAAATATTCTAAATTACAAACCGTACATGCTGATTCAGGTGGGCGCGTAGCGTTGTGTTTAACAAGGATTTGGTATTACCTTATCCGACGAAAACCTCTTGTTGTGACCTCTGGTGAACTGACTGGCAAAAGCCTCTTAACCATTTGCACTATCAACACATTTATAAGAAGCTCGGATGGTCATCAGCAGTCCCAAGGTGGTCGCCTTCTTCACTATTATTCCTCGCCTTGATTCCAGCGGCAAGAACCTGATGTGAAACAGACTGTGTAGCACAACAGATGAGAAGAATTTACTCGCCACGTGATTCTAAATAGAATGTTTACGGTGGGTTCAACATCGATTGTACTGCGAACTCGTACCAGTAGTCACAATTATAGTAGCAAAGAAGGGTTATTTTGCTTGGATTATTGCGTAGTATGCCTTTCAGGTCTTATTCTGAAGCAGCTTCTAGCGATAAAATCACGCTAAAATATCCCATGTAATACTATACTGAACGAAGAACTTGATCTCAACCCTGGAGATAAAGCAATGTAGTTTGGCGTACTCACAAAAAACTATCAGCTAGATTTCAGCACAGGTGTAGTGGAAGTCGGGCAAATCAATAGAAGCAAAGCTGACTGATAGGTTTGGGTTACAAAGAAGGGTGTGTCACAAGGAAGGGTTCGAGGAACGATAAACTGATGTGTTGAGCCTCCGATCTTCTCCGCCTGACTTTGAAAATCCTCTCGAATCCAGTGAAAGACACACAGATTCTCCTACGGTTGGGCCGGATTTTAAGTAGTCAGCCCAATTTGACTGTAAGCGTGGAGGTTTGTTGCCAGTTTTCTTCTATAATACAAAATATCAGTGGTTGATATCAGGTTGCTTCCCCCTTCATTTTTTATTTGTAATTGAAGGGCGTGTTATTCTTGATTTTCTTATCCAGTTTGAATAAGCTGTCGATATGGCGATGGGCAGTATTCGTCCTATTCCCGGGTCAAACCGTAACGAGGCAAATTATTTACCAGCCTAATGAAGACGTTTCCACCTTTTGCGTCCCCCTGAGATGTGTTTCTTGGGTTTCAAGGTCTTCCTGTTCTCACTTAATCTTTTGCTGCATATTCTCCTTGAATGTATCGATTTAATTTAATGAACGGAATACTAGTTGTTTGGACCACCTGATCGTCCAGTAATAATGGGCTTTACAATGGAGAAACGTGTTAAAGACTGTTAAAGAATTTGGTTTCCGAAAGGGTCCGTGGAGTGGTCTTTCAACATGACGGATTTTCTATTGAATTTGCGGTTTTTGAATTTATTCAAGATAACAAATAAACCCGGTTTCTACCATTAGCCTGTAGTGCGGACATGAAAACGAATATATTGAAAAAAACTAACATATGGTTTCTACCGTGTTTGAAATGAGATTCATGCGGAAAACACCAACACCTAATGAGCCACTGGACAAACTTCCCTTGTGGCAATTTCGACCAAATTTGATAGAATTGAAGGTCCATAAAGTGACAAGCTGATTAGTTCGTCAGCTACGTGATACTTCTTAAATGTAGTCATTTGTTTCATATGTGAATTCAAATCTGGGAAGTTGTCGAAACATAAACCGCAAGCTTGTGCAGTGTGGTTCAGGGGTTTGTCAATAAAATGCCGTTTTTTGGCTGCCTTGGGAAGTCTTGACTGCACACATCATAACTTGTTTTGTTGTGAAAGTGAAGTGACATTAATCTCGACATTTCAGTGGAACCATTAGATTCTTCGGATGAGGGGTAAATAATACGTCCGTTTATGCATTTCCGCCCATTTATGTTGCTCCAGCAAATCCATACAATCCCAAACGATTGTCTGAAAAAACAAATCTCAGGCATGGCTACTAATGCATTTCGAAGGACAAAAGCGCATTAGCAGAATGCAGAACAATAGGGCCAAATGCTGAGAAGCACAATTACCCGGGATGTTATTGTATAGAGGTAACAGTAGTAAGACAATAATACTCTGAAATGGGTGGTTGTCAATCACGCATTTTTATGAGACTGGATAGTAAATGGCAACCACTTACATCCTAATATTTGAACATTGCTATCAAACGAGTGCAAATACCTGATGCCTTACATACAGCTCGCAGAATATGGATCGAACAATTCAACCACTATTGGTGCAAATCTGCAAGCTGGATATATGTATTGCTACGCGTAAGTTAGTGATTAATTGGACTGAACTAAATAAATACTTTACTGTTCTGTTTTACTGACATCTGAATTGGAAGCATATGAAGAAACTCTTATCATCCAGGAATTAGCAGGCAAACGCTGAGTGCATACCAACTATTTGAATAATGTTATCTTGCTGGATTTATGGTAATTTTGTTATTGAAATGAGTCTCCAAAAAGTTTACAACATTGGTTCAACACTCGTCATTGTGTTTCACGACTTCCGTATGTTTCTGTACTGAATTGTCAAGTTATAATCCCGACAATTATATCTCGGCATGTTGCAGATTTTAGTATGTAGCCAAAGGGGTGTAGGGCACCACTTTTATGCAAGAACACGAGACACTTGTGATTCTACGCCAGTGCTTCTCAAACGGTGAATGGATATTGCGTTTGAACGATTGATGAGTAAATACTATCCTACTGTTTTATATCGTGCGCACAGCTAGGCGTCACCGCACTGTAATTCAGTTTATCGTCAGCATACGCTTTCGTCTAGTATGAAGGATACTGGCGTCACATTTATACAGGGTGAATGCACAAGAGAACTGTATTGCTAGATCGATTGGTGGCTGGTCATTGGAGTTTACTTGCTTGATAGTGGGCGATGTCTTGCATGGAAGCAGTCTTCCAGAGTGCTAAGCAGTTTGCTGGGTAAAATTGGATGTGGATGGGAATCAAACTGGTCTTCATGTTGGAACTCAGCCGTATGAACATAAAAGGCTACGAAAAAGTTTATGGTGTTTTACAGCGTTGTTTAACAATGAAATGTTGGTCTCCATTATTGCCTAACACAAGACTGATCGCAAGGGTTCCTTCAATCAAAAGCTAAAATCAGAAATGCCGACCCAGTTGTGCAGTGTTTCTTGATTCCATCTACTTCGATCGATGACTTCTCAATGGCATCACCGGCTGTGGTCAAGATGCTCGTTTACACAGATTCGTATGCATGAGGCTTTCTCACCTAATATGAGCGTGCGTGTTACTTGACCTGAGTGGGTTTTCATCAGACCTTTCCGAATTTCCGGATGCTTATTATTTGTTCTCACTGATAACTAAAGTAATTTGTTTGGAACTTGACTTTCCAAATTTTAATCCAGCTTTTGAGGACAACTTTTTATGCTCCGTAAAATACTGAGACCTTTTACACCAATTACCATTGGTACCCACCTCATGAACTGAAACAACAGTACGTGTTTTTGAAATATTTTTTTCAGCAAATCAAATAAATCGTATGTAATCATTATAGCCCACACATCCCAAGTGGGCCATTCCAGGAATCTACACATTTTAGCACGCACAACCACATTTCTTCCCATCTTTTTCCGAGAAAAATTAACGTGATGATTTGTTTGAAGGAGGTATGGATCGTTTCAGAAGGGTCTGGTAACAATCGGTGGACTTATTGCTGGGCAACGTTTCGCTTTTGACACAAATGCTTCGTCAGGCCAAGTGAGTAAGTATTTAGGTTTATTGGGTTTTAGGGCAGTCAGGGAAACAAACATTGAGTTTCCTTATGACTAGCGACTTGATCAATGCTGGGTATTCAGTCTGATGTTCCTGTTTGTTGATTAGTGGAGATGACTAAGATTTACGATAGATTGGTTAGGGGGGATTCGTCTTCATGCTGAACCCTGATTTTCCGTCCTTGCTTTTTCAGCCTGGGACACCTTAATGGAGAATTCCTCTTGGGGTCGTTCACAGATTTTGTTCACCTGTGTTCGTCCAAGAGTGCTGGGACAATTGGTCTAAGGATGGGGTGGAGTGGTTAACTGGGATGCTTGGCGATTTCCACCACCTCGGCCACCAATCGCTGTGGTGTTAATCTTAAACCCCGTCTAAGGATTTCCACATTTTCTAAATCTATCCTATGCCCAGTGTCTAGAGCATGCCCTGCCATTGCTGAATCTTTGACTAGCGCCTGGTATTCATCTGCGTTTCTCGGTGGTCTGTTAATAAAACGCTTATGCTCACCGATTCTGGTGTGCGATTCCCTGGCTGTTTGACCTATGTAAACCTTCGTACAGTCGTTACATTTTATTTTGTATACACAGTCCCTAGTCCTATCAAACGGAAAGCCATCCTTTAAATAGTGTGGATCGTCTGTTAAATCTGAACAAACCGAGTGATGATGCATGGGGTTTTATATAAACGTACTGATGCCACTGCTTGCTCTCCCAATCTGCCATGTTGAGCAATGTTCATGATTGTTTTTTCATACAAAGTGCGATCACCTTCTTATAATGCTTGTGGGTTATATCTTAGGAAAAGGCTTTCAAACATTATTGACTGACCTGTCGTTATCGAGTGATATGCGATCTTGCAATTCATGGAACAAGCTGCGCCGACTAAATTGAAAGTCATCATTTTGTAATTTATAGAGGGAATACTGAGCTTTAATATCTGAGTATTTGATCTAACTAATCACTGAATGCTGCTAGCTGTGCAGCAGAAACAGTTAGTTCACAGAAATGAAATTTTTCACTGATTAACCGACTGTATTCAGGATGATGAATTGCGACATTCGCCGTTGCCAAGTGAAACATCCCAAGGTACCTCATGTTTTTGAAGTAGCACTGCAACTGTTCCAGAAATCTTGTTTTTGGCTTGGTAATAGAGTGAAAAATGAGTGCATGATCGTACTTTACACGTATTCATATGCTGTAATAACCTTAAATTTTCCTCGACAACTGCGTACCAGTTGATCACGTTTGCCGATCGCCCCTTAGTTTCCAAGTATCTTCTCAGAAAGTTGAACCCCTGTTTTCGTAATACGTGCATTTTGACTCCATTTTGACGTCACAGGTGGATTGGTGGTGTTAAGGACCTAACTTATTCTGTCGCGGACGACGTCAACATGTTAAATATCAGACAGTGAGTCTGGTACTACAAGTACGGTTCCTTGCAGGTTTAGCAGTATTATTCTTCCATGATGATTATAAATTCTACAAAACTTATTGGGTAAGTTGTCATTTCCCCCCAAATACTAAAGGAAAAAAGGAGTTGGGAAAGCTTCTAATGATTGGAAACCCATAGCTGCAACAAGGAGTAGAAGTTTAGGTTACCTCTTGGAACAAATCAAGTCCCGTCCTGAATACGACCTAGGTGAAACATTTTTCATGATATTTGATGTTGAAGCCTTATATATTTGAGATATCATTGGTGTGCAAAATGATATTCATGTGCTACCGTGGTTTAGCTAGTTGATATTTCTACCAAGTGATCATGTTTGTTGATAACTGGGCAGCCTTAAAGCAACTGATGCTGATATCCGTATACAAAATACCAACAGAACCAAATTACAAGTACATGAGCAGCAGCCATAGAAGATTTAATACATGGTGAAATATATCATGTGGCAAGTTCGTATTGAATAGATTTGCCTTCTATCTAATTATTTAGTCGTATAAAAAACATTAAGATCGAAGCCGGAGTGGCTCTGACACAATTTTATCTGCCTACAGGAAAAATCAATTAATTATTCAGACATTGATTCTGAAAGCAAGGTCTGTTTCAGCGAATGTTTTTATGCTCATTCGCTCTGATCACGGAAGCTCTGGTGGGTAGGTTTTCGAAGGTACGAACTAGTCTCTGAGAACTGTATTCATAGCTGCAACCGAATTCTGAAGAGAATATTTTGCGAAGTATACCTAGCACACCTTAAAGTCTGTAATCATCAACCGAATGCAATTCTAGGTCACTTCGGTGTAGTACTCTGACGTAAATCAAACTTGGGTCATCCTAATTACACCTGAGATGAGGTTTCTTCCTCGGAGTGTTCATTAATTGTTGACGAAATACGTGCACCTAAATTTCACCCACCTGGATTCCAACAAAACCAAATCTTGTCTGCTATTTCATCAGAAGGTTGAGGTTTTTTTTAATTATATAGACAACTGTAGCCTGACCGTGCACTGGACGTGTACTATGTAATGTTCACCTTTCGTGTGACATTTGTGGTGTGACACCAGTGATCATCTTCAATCAACTTGGCAACTCCCTAGGTAGATGGTTTATCCTATTGATTAAGCACCTATTGCTTTCATTTCCCTAAGGGTGTTAGTGTTGTATTGTCCAGCCGAAATGTGACAACAAAATAATGGTGCACAGAGGCCTTTAATCTCAAAACAAACGGTTATTCGTTATCAAGACCAAAGGGCGACATGCGTGTACGCTTGTATACATGTTTACATTGGGCATTTCTGGTTACTTCAGCCACGTTTTAACCGTATCACAGGTCTCACCCAAACCGATATGTAATGTGTTGGACACTGCGACGATTTGTGTAATGAGTTTGTACAGTAATATGAATGTGACAGATTTATCTGGTTTACCTGTGAATGGTTATCACCGACCCTTTCAGTCTGTTATTACCAACATTTCTCCGATCGTCCGTCACTAAATTCTTGAACACCGAACTTGATACGGATGCTAGTAAGCCCATTTAGAGCCTATCAGCTGTGCAGTTTCTATGATCAGATTAACCACAATCACGTCCTTCACTAACCTGTACCTAAATCGCCTGGTGCAGAATATCCAAGTGCGTTTAAACGAACCGGCTTTGGCTCCTTCTGAAGACGTACTGTAGTCGGCGACGGGCCCAAACTAACCCCGGAACCCTTCCGGCTTCCTGAACACTTCCTAAATTTTTACAAATCATACGTCACTTCCAGCCAGGTAGAAAATTTCATGATCTATCTTGATTGCGGTTATTTGTGTAAGAACACTCAGTGTGCTCCATGAATTTCAGATTGGTATTTCTAGTATGATTACACTGTCAGCAGGATATTTTACGCTCCTCTGGAATTCCAACAATGGCCAGTTAGTTTATTTAGCGCCCATTTCCATTTAGAAATTCTAGAACCATGCGTTCATTTGAAACAGGTATAAAGCGGTATACCCATAATACAGTAACACTGTAGTCAGACCAACGGTTTTTATTTCACAACTCGTTCAGATCACCGAGTAAATTTTCTATACCAAACGTTGATTTTTGGTTGTTTTGTGAAAGTTCACGCCGAGGGGGGAGTTGCTTTGCAATGATAACATCGACGTTCTTCTGGAATTCGTTTTGCGCGAAATAGCACATCACCACACTTGAAGTAAACATCTGAAAAAACTTTTCTGAGTAAATTTGGTCCAAATCGGGGCATTAAACGTCATTAGATAGTTTTCTGTCTTTTTGATCGTTCCCAACCTTGCCTAGTTCTTTTTCCCATACTTGCCAAGTATGCTGGAATTTTGGATTTTTCGTGTAACCAAGTGATTCTCAAACTTCTTCCCTCACCTCCATCTGGAGCATATTGCCTGTCAAAACCACCTAATTTTTTACGTAATAACTGATACTTTTATGGATAAGTTACTTGCGATGCAAATGCTAACCCAAAGCCACATTCTATAGATTGACTCAATCCGCGAAGGAATGGACATCTTTTACCGGAAAGCACGATTTCGGCTGTCGCATATCAGAAGAAGGATCAGTGTTTCAAGGATTTCATTGTTTGATTCCAAAATCGCATGCATCAGTTATTCCGAGAGGTTGCCTAGAAAGACCATCTTTGCAAACAGTGCAACGCTTGTTGTCAAATAATTGAACTTTGACAACAATAGCAAACAATTTGTTTACATACACCGCAGAATTGTAGTCTACAAGTTTACTTCAGTAGGCGCAGATATATGCCAACAGCATCCCGCGTGATAACTCAACAACACCTATCTTGGGGTTGTAGGCATGACAACTCAAAACGGTGTTTTGATTGCCAATTGATCACAAATATTTTAGCTGATAAACATAGCTTTGACTCCTCAATGAAGACGATTTCTCCAGGTTCATACCACTTCAATTCGTTCCCTTGGGTGTATCATATCGTTTTGATAGATCATGTCCTTATCTTCCACTAGAGATCAGTCACAATGTCCTTGTAGTGCAAAGCACCATCCCATCAAACAGGTTTGCATACAACGACACAAACACACTCTCGCTTGCTCTTAGTGATTGCGGCCTTGCAACATGATTCGAATATAGGTGTCCATCCAATAAAATTCCCCCCAGATGCAACCTTTTAGATGAGACACATTGTGGCTTGTCTCTTGAGTCTTTTTCAGATAGTAGGAACGTCATTATCACACTTCTCTCACAGCTTGGAAGCGATCCTTTGTACGACTGTTACGACTTATCCTTCGCGCACTTTCGTGAGATCACTTAATCTCACTGATCCAAGTAAACCTCTCTCCTCGTTGTTCTCGGCTAGGAGGGATTTCGCTATTGATTTGATGTATTTATGGGGCCGAAAGGTTTACTGATGATTAATTTTCCTGAAAGAGATCTCTTTAGAGGTAAACAACCAAAATTACATAACCGTCTCCTCAGGTTCTTGTGATCACAATGAACCAGAACCTTCGCCAGTAATACTAGTGATGAACGCACAACATGAAGGTAAATGCCTCCAGTACCTTTTAACCAGCTGATATCATGATTAATTAAGCTGCTGCTCATTGGAAAAAAACGTCTCTCAGAATGTGAATATTTACAACGTGCGCGAGCTGTGACAAAAATTGGTGTCCCCAAAGCATATCCTGAGTGCTTAACTAGTTTTATTGCTTTTTATATTACAATCAGAATTTCGAAAATATGTGTCATTACAGTCGCTCCCTACCCAAGATACTTCATCCTGACAGTCGTCGCCTTAAAGTGATGGTCCCAAATGAGCAGAAGATAGTCATTCATTGTTAACCCGGGTAAAAATTTGCCTACGCCAAACTGCTCCGTAAACCATTACGCAAATCTTGCAACTGCGCATCGGCTAGCGTGAGACGTATGATATATTTGATAGACTCTCCCGTCGCCAAAATATGTACAACCGTGGACGCACACTGCTCTCACTGAACACCGTTGATTGTGATGTTAAAACCCATATGCCCCATTACTCTGTCACCTCTGTTTCAGCCTAAAAAGAGAGCCCTAAATCCTTGGGCCAATGAAAGGGATGAGCCCTTTGTCAGTAGGAAATGTAGCCCACTGGAACAGGTGCCATTATGAACAGTGATAGTATTCCACATCGCCCATTTGGCTCAAAATATGAAGCTTTTACAATGTTTAGTGAAAATGTGAAAGAGAATGTGCACAGGTACAGGCAGAGGTAAACTCAGGGTGAAACAAGCTCAGTAGTCCGCCTTATAATCTAAACACCCGGAGGCAGTCTGGAGTTGTCTGAGAATGTCGGTAACAATCGGGCAGCCGATCACTCAAGTTCTGTGATGACTGAACAGCCACCAGACTGACTGCTGGAACACAATTTGACAAATCGCCCTAAAGGTGACTGAATAATTAACAAATTGAACTGATATTAAAATGGCGCAATAGATATATTGGCTGTGGTCAGGCCACCCGTTGAAAGTCACCTTCACGTGTCTAAGCTTGACATCCCTCAACTGGTGAATAATTTGCATTCTTAGGGCCTTAGAGGATATCGATGAATAATTCTGCTGGTGTGTTGAATCGCTGTCAACATAGCGACACACTGCCTGGTTGTCTTGAGGCAGGTGTCGTCAGTCAGTCATGAATCGTCCTTCTAACGAAATCTCAGACAGTATACGGTGCAAAAACTTCAAACTTCAATCTAATCTAAATTTACATTAGACATTGAGAAGTCAAATTCACCCACTCACATTCATGTTTAATGAGAAAAGTGAAACTTCCCTGATTTAGTGGTTGGTTAAACATGACTTGGTGGCGCGCTGTGTAAAGACATATCCAGTGCCCAACAGACATTAGCATGGAATAAAATGCACTGGGATTTGTGTGTTCGCAAACGCAAGTTTTCTTTGGAACTGTGAGAGTTTGCATGCAAAACAAGTAAACGGTAATGGTTTGCATTACCCAATTAAGTAAAAGCAGCACGAATGCAGTAGTTGTAGTTGGTGGTCGTTGGCTTGTTCGCTGAGCTGGGCAATTTGGTTGCAAACGTTTCATCACAACCACCGTTTCGTCACAACCACCAGCCCACCGCTACGCACTACTACGCTCCACAATAACGCACTGATGATGTCACCTCGATTGGTGATGAAACGTTTGCAACCAAATTGCCCAGCTCAGCGAACAAGCCAACGACCACCAACTACAACTACTGCATTCGTGCTGCTTTTACTTAATTGGGTAATGCAAACCATTACCGTTTACTTGTTTTGCATAGTTGTAGTCGCAAACGAGTCCTTCGTCAGCCTTGCAACATTTATAACCATAATTTAATGGCTATTTACCAGAGGTGGTTAATATGTTTAACGACTGGAACAACTGTGAGGTTGGAACGATTCAAAAGCGTTCCCCGCGACCAGTTACTCCGCTCGGGTACTGCGTGCATCAACCTACTGTAGGCAACACTCTTCACATCCCCAGTGAATGACCTGAAGTAGGAGGATTACGAATTTCTCAATGGCTTCTAATCACTACACTTATCACTATTGCCTAGTTGTCCGAGCTTGCTTCCCAATGTTGAAATGTAACATACTTGTAACTTGATTGAGCCAGCAACCTCAAGGTTACATAAAACTTTCAAACGGATATGCATTCTTAGTTCAAATTTTGCAGCACATCCATAGTCCTTCCAACATTCATAATTTTTCCAGGTGCGATCGCCTACCCTTCGCGAAATGTCCAAGCAGTACAGAAACGGTGAAACGACAATTACACGAACCCACTCGGAACTAGCACCTTTAAGCTCAAGACTGCAATGGACAACAGAGATGAAACGTTCAAAAACAGATGTACCCATTTCTAGACCAAGGTATCTCAACCACTACAGTAAGACAATGCCGTCCTATCGCTCGTTCAGTCAACTTGGAATGACATGCAAGACAAATGGGTCTGAGCATCCTCATCAGCGTTTACTAACCTTTGAAACGATTCCATCCCGATCGGTGAGCAGATCAGCCTTGGATCATTACGAAGTTTTGACACCACGAGGTGACAGTATTACAACCAACCTGCTTGCCCTTCGTGGTCATTCGTCTCAACTCACGCTTGGAACTACTCCTCCCCCAAATCCCCAGGGATTTGGACACACTGTCCAGCGTAAAATCCGATCTCCGCCCTATGTTAAAGAATCTGTGAACAAGACTGAAGTGCTTTATGAGACAGCTGCTTCTGTTCAGGCAGATAGGAATAAACTCATCGAATCACACTATCAGAATGATAAGCCAAATGTAATGATCACAAGCCAATCCTACCAACAGCTCACCGGAGAGCAGGTAGGTTTCTTTAACATTTTGAGTCTTGCATTAAGAAACTTTCTATGCAGAGAGTAGACTTTTTTTGTGCATTTGTACAGGTCCCATTCAGACGTGCAAAACACTTTCGTTGTGAAATCTCCACTTCCCAGGAAGCATAGTTGATTGACTTTTATGCAACTGAGTATGGTTCGAGAAGAATGAAATTCACCATTTTTTATTTAATGTCCCATCTCGCATTGTGGCTGTGTACGCACTTTGTCATCCATTTCATCGGTCCTTCCAGATTTCCCCAATCATGGATATACCTGACCACAATTTCCTAAACTTTCGAGCCGTTAAATGTATAGGCAAAATACCGGCCCACCAAAGACGCCAGGAGCTTTCGAGATTTATCAGCAACAAAACAAAAAATGGACTCGATTTCTCTTACGAGTATCGGGAGTTGGAAGCTGTTTACCGTGTTCAGTGGAGGTCAGCACTGATGTAGGCAAGTGGGTGTGGCAAGCTATGGCAGTTATCCGCAGCTTTAATTAACAACCGTACATGGTTTATATTTTATCCAGGATTGAAATGCCTAGTAAACCGGGGACTAGATGATTAGTTTGGGTGTTTCCGTCAATGATAGAGGCACCCCATTTGTAGTAACATAGTGAGTCGTTTGACGGTCACTAACTTTTTAGCCATCAAGGTAGCTAAAACGAATCAAGATAATACATGGCCGTATCTGAAAGAAAATGGCAACACTAATTCCCTAAATTTGCACTGCAGTCTCGTCAACTCATCCGAAGTCGTCTTCAGGTGTGTGTTTTACTTAAAACAAAACTCAGAGGCAAAATGAATTCTTTTTTCAAGGAGACGTTGGAAATTAGAAAGTATTTTGACAGATATTGAGGTAGGAAATCCAAGTACATGTGCAACAAACGAAAACATGCTCCCGAGGAAGGTTAAGAACCATCGTAACTGGATAGGCTTCAACCCTGGGCTCCAAAAAACGTGCATAAAAACTAGTCCACATACAATCCAAATATTGAAGTCAAAATTCAGGAAGGTGGTATTTGTGCCTGAGGTAAATAGTCCTCTGAAGAAAGCACTTGTACTAAAATGGCTTAAATGGAGAAGTTCCGTACGCCAATGCTGGTTTACCCATTGGTGAGAATAATGGTGACTTTGTTGACCTGAAAGTAATCATATTTTGAAATTGTCATTTGGCACAGCAAAACGAAACAAGCTATGTACGTGATAACGACTGTAAAAATTGGTGACTGCTGTTTTACCAGTGTATGTGAATTAAGTGTGTATGCACGTGTTTTCATCTTTGTCATGTTATTTCTTTTGTTTTTCATTCAGTTTAGGGGTGCTCTTGCCCAAGTCGTTGACCCCTATGATCCCAGAACAGACCTGGAAGAACTCGGTCCGATTGGTGAAGGAAGCACTGGTGTCGTGTGCTTGATGCGATACCGATCTACCAATCACTATATTGCAGTGAAAAAGATGAATATATTCAAGCAACAACGGAGAGAACTATTATTTAACGAGGTAAATCTTTTACCCACGACTTAATTTAGAAACAAAATTGAACAGCTTTCGTCCTACGCCAATATTACTATTCTCTGCTGCTCCCATGTGCTTGGAAACTTCTCTCTGATTTCTTATCAGGTGAATTCAATGTCGGTAAATAAGAAACATCGAGAAATCCTCGGACCATTCTCTATCACCAAGGCGACATGAACGACAAACACGGTATTTTTTGTTATCGAAATAAAGAGAGTCCGAAAAAACGGTAATCAGCACTCAAGCAGTACTTATTTAGTCTTAGTCGAAAGGCGGTCCTGATCACAAAGCTTTTTGTTGGATGCGAGGGTGCATTCCTTTTAACAGAGTAGAATTACAGTCTGTCCGATGTTCTGAGTGGAAACTTAGCGTTTGATAACATGTGGAGTGTTCGCATCCCTAGCTGTCACACGGTGCGTAACCCAGCAAAAATGTTAATATGGCGGCGGGCCGCCGAATCACACCAAGTGCGGCATATTGATGGAGAATGCCTGTGAGCACTTTTCGTTTGCGCAGTCTTGTGGGTGAATCCCCTTGAGTTGTGTCCGCATTGGCTATTCACGTGACTCCTGCTTTAGAATCCTGTCGGAAGAG